TGAGAGTCAAAAAAAACATACACAAACAAAACCAAATTAAACCCTGCGGCTCGTGACGATACATTGATGTGTAAAGACACGAAACGATCGGTCTGTGCAAGAAACTGAACAGTATTTATATCGTTTTTTACCTCTGATGCACTGCAATGTCTGAACTGTCCTGAGCGCGTCCTCGAAAGTCTTCTTCTTCTTCTTGCTTTACGGCGGATCGCAGACTTATAAGTGCATTACCGCCACCTATCTCTCAAATGGACCATTGACACTCTATCTACAATCTCAATTAGGAGTGTCAATGGTCCATTAGTAGTAATTTAGTAATACTTCATAATTGTCATTTATATATTAATATTTAGCCAATTTAATTACAAAACAAGTTGCACAATCTTTATTATGCTTGTTAATTCTAATTATATTTTTTTGGGAAAAAATAGAACTGGCAATCCTAACATATTTTGCACTTTTTGTATTATGTTGGGTCCTCTAAATAAATAAAAACATAATTTTTTGACAAAAATATATTTTATTTCGATGAAATAAAATGAAATATAAATATTTAGATGCAAAGCCTAAACAAAATGAAAATTAGAAATGTTGCCTTGGTGACTAACAGAATATTTTTTTTTTTTAAATAAAATTACTATTTGGAAATAAAAAAAGTGAAAAACTAAAACTAAAGTAACAACCTAATTAGTAGTAGTAAAAAAATAAAAATTAATTAATTAATTAATATGAAAAATTAAAATAAAAATAAATAAAAAGCAAAAGCAAAAGCAAATTACAAAATTACTAACAATTAAACTAAATTTAAACTGAAATATATAAAAATAAAAACTAAAGTAAATTCAATATATTAAGAAACTATGATAGTAAATGATACTAATAATAACAACTCTGCTTCATGATTTCTTTTCCTACTTGAAAGCAAATTAATAGTAACATTTTAAAAATGTACATTTGAACATTAACATTGCATGTTTTATTTAAATGTTTATAGAACCCCTACAATATCTTTCTCTAAAACACACACATCAGTCAGTCAGTCAATCAATCAATCAATCAGTAGCCTAGTTTTATTTTGTTGAAGCAATTAATACAATACACTATGACAATGTTTTTCAAAGTTGTAAATAAAGATGTTTGGAGTATGTTTTACAAGTAAATACTATTTCTAAATATTTTCTGCTTCAAATTTTCATGTTAAATTCAATGTTGCTTGCTGTTTCTTTGTAATTATTTGTGAAATCTTACTTGCAATTTCTAAGTGTACACCATTTTTTTTCTAGTGTACAAATGCAGAGATGATATAATGTGTTCTCTATGCCATAACATTTACATGAGTCACACCCCACTCATGAGATGTAATTTGACCAAAATGTGATGAAGACCAGCGTCTCGCTATAATTGAAAATGTATCTAAAAACAAGCTCTTAATCATTTACCGGCTGTTGCTCCATCCACAGAGGGCCCTTCTGAGTCAACAGACAGCACTCTGAAATAAACAAAACCTTTGCCATAGGCCGGCGGCTGTTTGTGGAGGGTGGGGGAGGTATGGATGGCCTTGTGAGAAGGACACGTTCATGGCTCCATTAAAAAACTATTATCAAACACTTCAGCTATTTTCACACGACACTACAGTATGGGCGTTTTTAACAGGACGTCCATCTTTTATTTATGAAATTTGAAAGATGTTTAAAATCATAGTGAGGTGTCCATCACTTAATCTTTCTGTGAGGTTTGATAAACCCAAGCCAAAGCAAACTAAAATGTCTGAAATTCTAGAATGTTCTCTGAAACTTTCTGAGTAATTACATGAAACATTGCGTTTCAGAGAAGCATGGAGAGTAGCTATCACCCAAAGCCTCTTTTTGTTTGACATCTGGTAGTTAATCTCAAATAAAAAGTGCTTACTGTTTTAGAACCACACATCAAATCATAAAAGCTAGATGTAGAGATAAGACCATCAAACAGTAGTACAAACCGACGAGAGGCTTCATATCAGCATGTTAAACATGAGCAGTCAAGGACTGTGGCACAAAAAATGCCATTACACACCATAACAAGGTCCACAACCTTGAACTTTCCCAAGATTTACCTAAAAAAGACCTGTTAACACGTAACACCCGGCCAACAAATCAAAAGATGGTGCACTGAATTCAAACATACATACGTTACTGGAACTAGAGATCCAAAAGGTCTGGAACTGTGAATGTGAAGGCTGAATAACAGCTTTATGCTTGATAATGATGGCACTGAAATTGCACATTTTATGGTGGCACTAACATTAAATGTTTTCTGTAATGTTCTATTCTAAAATGGATAAAATATCATTTGCATTAAGAGGATCATTAAATACTTGTATAAAACATGGCAACCCAACAGGGTCATTTAGTGCAAGTAAAACTGCCAGAAGCTATTTTATTCCTTCAAATAAAGTGGAAATTAAAATATATACATTTTTTAATATAATGAATTATAATTTTTAAATTATAATTTAATAATTTAAATGAAAAACTTATACTAAACAAAAATGAGAAATATTGCCTTGCATGGCAACAAATTGAAATAACAATAAAAATAAAACTGAACTAAAACGTAAACTAAAAAATAAATTAACCCTAATAGTAATATTAAAAAAATAATGATTAAAAAATAAAAATGTCAAGCACAAACAAAATTACAAGACGTTACACTAAAATTAAAACCTAAAAGGAAAAATATAAAAATAAAAGCTCATTCAAAATATGAATAAAAACTAGTATAATATTAAAATAACTCCAGCCCATCAAGCGAGATCACACTCCTTAATTAGATAGATAGATAGATAGATAGATAGATAGATAGATAATGCATATATAAATGGTTTGAATATTCCTGCAAGGCACTGACTAAGTGTCTGGTGTTCACAAGTACTAGATGTACCTGAAACTGTTGTCTCAAACTACCCCTGCTGTCACTATCACGCAACACATGGTTGTTCTTGTAAACGTAATAAAGCAGAAACTAATGAGAATGTGCATACGTTCAGGGGAGTAACGTGATGGAAGATGAGGACCTTCACGAAATTGGCATCACCGACCCAGGCCACAGAAAAAAAATCCTTCATGCAGCAAAAAGCTTTCCAAAGGTAGTGTGTTTCAGTCCCTAAATAGTATTTGGACACTATGGCATTATAGATAGATAGATAGATAGATAGATAGATACAGTAGATAGATAGTCACCAGTAAGGGTGCTGTAATTTTTTTAATACAATGTATGTATGTATGTATGTATAATTATATGTATAATGTAATTCTATGTATAATGTATAATTACTGATTTTGAATTTTTTAATTTTAATTGATTTTTTTCTCTTCTTTTTTATGTAAAACCATCCAGTTTTCTGTGATAAAGTGTGTGTGTGTGTGTGTGTGTTTGTAAAATTTGAATGTCCTGCCCCAGTAAAGAGATTATTTGAAAAAAAAACTGTAATTTTTGTTGCCAAGTAATCTTTGGGTGGCCAGACTAATTTGTTGTACACTGTAAAATGCTGCTGTGAACATAAGAATAGTGATAATGTGAAGGATGTTTACTCCCACATGACAGAAACCAGGAGAGTTCTGTCAGCTCCCAACAAAGACAAAGTGAGCCAATTTAAGCATCCCAGCATAAACATGCATCTATTCTCTCTGAGAAAGAACATGTCGTGAGTCCGAAGTCTCGGTTACGTCTACTTCGATTTCATTTGTTCCGCACTCAACTCATTAATAGTGTAAGAGGCTATTTAAACAGAAGAGCAGCCGCTGCTGTAATCTAATGTATGTGCCGAAGAGAATCAATTATGCATGCTATCTGAGCTATATTAAAACACTACTATGCCAGCAATATTTTTTATCACATATAAATGTATAAGTAAAAGATAAATTGAAAGATTTTTTATTCTCCTCCAAATAAACATTTAAAGAGACATCAGTTACAGTGACGCAATGGTAAAGTGCACATTTCAAACGATCATCTTGACATCCATGTAAGCAATGAAATGTCTTTTTCAGCAGGTATTGTGCAAAAAAAAATAAAAATAAAAAATAAAATCAGGCACATTGTGGATTGTTTCTTTTTTTGATATCCATATTCAATTTTATAAGTACTAAAATGGTTAATTTCTACATATTCAACCAAACATAAACTCTATCAAAGCTCTTCCACCTACGCATATGTAAACGGTAAATTGAACTATGAGTTATTAATGGTGGACATACTGCATTTTTCAAAGGCATTCCACTAAATACACATCCCTCTTCTGACCATTATTAACTTTTATGATAAAACAATGTTTTCTGAGATGTGTTGAATTTAGCAAAGAGGTTTGTGGAGGCTGCACAACTACATGCAAGAAAAGCCATGGAGGCACAGAAAAATGTTTCTGACTCTTTAACCTATTTATGCACTATACACCTGCTTTCTTTGCATAGCTGACAACAATCAAAACATAAAATCAAAAAGAACCGATGCATATTCTGCTGTCAGCCTTATAGTACGGTAGATATAAAAAGACTTGGGAACAAAATTATGATTTAAAATTGAGTTCAACTCAACTCAACTGTCTACCTACAGCTGTCAAATTAACTACTCACAGATCATTCTCATGTGACTGTTCCTTCAGCTTCTACAGCAGGGTGAAATCATAAAGGAAGCCATCCAAAATATTTCTTCACAACTCAAATATACTGCTGTGTCAAATGTCAGGTGGAATGTTGTATTCCCAGGGTGGGTTACTTAAATAAATACTCCTACGCCTTAGGTCTCAGTCTTGGGCGTTTGGTGACCAAAATGTCATTGATACTGATTCTGATATTCCCCATTTTCAGAATGATTTGATCCGTGATCTTCATCTGCTTGCATGGTCATGCCTCTCTTCTTCTTCCAGCCTTGCTTGCGGCCTGCAGAGCTTTCTGTGGTTCCATAGGTCTTCTGCTTGGTGGCCAGGGCACTGTCGCTGTTGTGCTCTGTCTCATCAGCCAGCTCATCTTCCCTGATAATGCCGCATTTCTCGTCACTGGTGCTCTCAGGATCGGCCCAGTCCTGCTTCTCACCAGAGGCAAAGATGGCATAGAAGATCACGCCAGTGTAATGCACCATGGAAGCAATCACAAAGACATGCTGCCACTCCAGGCGAGTCTGTTGAGAACATAGAAATGTAATGAGGATATGTAATATATTTGTGTAAAACAAAAATGCACATTCAATTTGCTTATTTATCATTCAAGGGTTAATTTAAAGTTAAGTGTCTTGTTCCAAAGCAAAAGAGGTGAGGGCAAACTTGTTAGCTTTATAGTTTATGAATCACCATTTCTGGGGTTTTAACCTACAACCTTCTGGTTACTTTCCTTTTATATATATATATATATATATAAGAACTTCACTAAACTGTCCATAATTGAAATTAGCCAGCTGTTACCTTAAAGAGATATTTCTACCTTATCTTACCCATAAAAAAATAATTTTGTTGATCTATTTTTTTTTTTCATATATTATTGATTAAAAAATAATTTCATTTTTGGTTATAAGTGAAACATTTTTACAGTTTATCACTATAGATCAGTGGTTCTCAACTTTTTTGACTCAAAGATCCCTCATTGTTCTAAACAATATTCGAAGGCTCCATGATATAGACCATTTACAGCATTAATTTTGAAATTTCAGAATTTTCAAGATCTTCAATTAAAAACAGTTAAAAAGTTAAAAACAGTTATGGAGTAGGGGGTATAATTAATTTATTGATTATATTATATTGTATTATGAAATAAGTTTAATTTGCATATTAATTATATATTAATTTATCATATTGATCATTTCAATATACATAATGATATGTAATGCATAATAATTTATTAATTTGAATACTTTTAGCCATCTTGAGGCCCCCTTAAAAGTGTGCTGAGGCCCCCTAGTTGAGCACCAATGCTATATATATTCATGTCATATTTTTGAATATCCAGGAATATTTACACACTTAAACGTTCCCCTTATCAAATATAAGGAAAATGACTTAATCATGAAAGAAGGAAGCTATTTGCGTGTGATTGTATCTCTTAGGTTAAAAAAAATTATTGTGCATATAGTATTATGTTTTTCTATGCACAAGCATAAGCAGATGAAGTTAAATACCTTGTGTTTGGTAAGTGCTCCGACAATGAGGGGGCACACCATTCCAGACAGGGTACCTACTCCATTAGAGATGCCCATAAGAATGCTGGCATAGCGAGGAGCTATGTCCAGATGGTTTACATTGAATCCTGTGTCAAAGAATAGAAATACATTTCACATATTTAGATCTTCTTCGGTGTAATTTTAGAAACTAATACTCCAGCTTCTATCATCAGGCACTTTCTACTTAGTTCTTTTATTACAACTGAGCAACCCGCATTATTGAAACTGGAGATGTGGCATAAGCACAAAGAAAGGTTAGAATCAAACAAAGCCAAATGACAGAGGATTATGTTGACTGACACTCTGATGACTGACACCTGTCTCATGCGTCACCTGATATCGCAAATCCACTGAAGCCTACCGCCAGGATGAGGAATGAGATGGCCACTGCACGTGTGTGTGAGAACCCAACCACCAGGAGCAACGTGGCCTCCATGCCAAAACCTGTGGATGATGGCAGAAGTTAGTCATCAGCTATCTTGCACACGACACAGCGTTCCAAAAAGACAAGTTCAACTTTAAAAATTCCTCTCTAGACCTTTCGTTTTTTCCATTCCACTGCTCTGCGTATTGCATTTTTACAAAAATGTGTGAATGGCCCCTAAGGGTCACTCAACACTATGTCTTTATAGTTATCTTTATTAATGTAAACAGGCCTTTAAAAGCAAGAACTCAACCAATGGTGTGAGCTTGGGACTTTGCCTACCTCCACAGTTCATAATTTTGCGCACGGTTGTAGTAGAGAGGATTTTCCGACTCCTCAGGAAGTCAGCCAGCTGGCCTCCTATCGGCACAATGATCGTCATCACCAAGTGTGGCACCGCTGACAGAATGCCCACCTGAAACAGCCCGACATCATGTAGTTAGCCTATTTCTAGAGTGAATTGTGGGTGTTAAATTAACAGAGGATTCTGTAACTTTAAATCACATAACAGCCCACCTTGCTGATGGGGAACCCAAAGACCTCTTCAAAGTAAGCTGGCTGAAGTTTATTATACCAAATGCATGAAAGAAGACTTTGGACTACCTCAGTAGAACTCATTAAATTGGCTCCTTCCCCAATAGAGGTCTCTATGTATGTCCTTTCTTCCTCACTGATAGTGGGATGGATTGCTGGACTGTCATAAGCCAGCAAGAGCCAGAAACTATACCATATTATGCCAAACACACCTGGATATAAGCACAGAACCACACTTTAACACTGCATCTCTGAAATGTAACATTACAAATGAACACATTAGAGTGGACATGAAGGGTTCACTAAATGCAGTATATTTAGTGACTCATAGATTTACTACTTTTTGCCATCTATTCACAGTAACTCACTCTGTATTTATATCATGTTACTGTTACTCTTAAAAGTAAATGTTCTTTATTGGCATCTGTGGTACCATAAAGAATATCCATCAAAACTTTTTTTAATTGGACTACATTTTCTTTATTAAAAGGTTCTTTAGATTATTAAAATGTTTTTTTTTTAAATCAAGAAAAAAAAGAGAAGTTCTTTGAGGATTCCTAAATGGTTCTTTTATGGCATTTGTTGCAACCCCCCCTTTTTAACCTTTATTCAATTCCGTTCAGTTCCATTCTATTTAGTTGAATTAAGCTTGATTTGATTCAGTTCAGTTCAAAGTGATCCACTGGGATTTAATATGAATTAGTGCTGGGCAATGATTAATCGCGATTAATCACATCCAAAATAAAAGTTTTTGGTTACATATGTGTGTGTACTGTGTATATTCATTGTGTATATATAAATACACACACATGCATGTATATATTTCAGAAAAATATGTTATGTGATTGCGTAGACAGGCATAGATGTGAAGAATTCACGCCAAGGAGTTTTAAATTTCTGCAAAGAGAGAAAAAAAGCAGTTTTTACAAAGTAGTTTAGGATATTACATTGCCATCTTAATATTAAATTGAATCAGTGGACATCAAGGGTTCACTAAATGCAGTATATTTAGTGACTCATAGATTTACTACTTTTTGCCATCTATTCACAGTAACTCACTCTGTATTTATATCATGTTACTGTTACTCTTAAAAGTAAATGTTCTTTATTGGCATCTGTGGTACCATAAAGAATATCCATCAAAACTTTTTTTAATTGGACTACATTTTCTTTATTAAAAGGTTCTTTAGATTATTAAAATGTTTTTTTTTTAAATCAAGAAAAAAAAGAGAAGTTCTTTGAGGATTCCTAAATGGTTCTTTTATGGCATTTGTTGCAACCCCCCCTTTTTAACCTTTATTCAATTCCGTTCAGTTCCATTCTATTTAGTTGAATTAAGCTTGATTGATTTGATTTCAGTTCAAAGTGATCCACTGGGATTTAATATGAATTAGTGCTGGGCAATGATTAATCGCGATTAATCACATCCAAAATAAAAGTTTTTGGTTACATATGTGTGTGTACTGTGTATATTCATTGTGTATATATAAATACACACACATGCATGTATATATTTCAGAAAAATATGTTATGTTTATATATTAAATATATTTTTATATAATATAAATTATATGAATATAAATATAAACGTAAATATTTTCAAAATATATACATGCATGTGTTTGTATTTATATAAAACAAAAACGTTTATTTTGGATGTGATTAATCGCGATTAATCATTGCTCAGCACTAATATGAATGTAAATTATTTTGATTGATTAAAGTCTGACAAATGTGTCAAAGTGCAAATCAGTTAATAAATGTCATCACTCAGATTTTCATTTTCAGTGTCATTTTTTACCAAAACATTTCAAAGGCTTACCCTAAACTCACCATATATATAGAAGACAGAGGGCCAGCCTACATACTGCACTAATACTCCAGCCAGTGGCATGGCTATCACAGCTCCTGCATACGATCCTGTCAACCAGAACACACACACACACACACACACACACAAAGGCGTAATTAAGAAAGTTAAATTAAGAGAGAGGGCATTAATCAACCTGCAATAATCCCTTCACATGACAGTTCAATAATTTCAAGCCATTGCGGGGGTTGCCTCATAACTGCCAGAGGAAAACTGGCATGATTGGTTTGGTTCAGCTTTGAGAGAGCAGAATTAGTTTTGTTCATTTTAATGTAGTAACTTCTAAATTTACCTTCAGATTTTCATATATTTGGAGGACTTTTTTAAGGAATGGTTCATCCAAAAATTATGATTCTGTCATTACTCAAGTTGTCAAGCTATAAGAACTTTTTAAGCAATAAATGCCAATGCCAGGATTCAAGTCCTTCATCAAACTCTGCTCAGTTACATATGCAACAACTCCAGACCTCAGCGCAACACGTGCCTCTGCCTGAAGGGCAGGCTGGCAGCTGCAGGAAATGGGATTTTAATGAAAAGGTGTCTTAATGTATATTTTATTGATGCACTCGTAAACCTTCCTGCTTGGCGTAGAAAAATTCTCGCGTGAGCTTTTGAACACAGGAGAGGGTGCTGCTTCATTTGTGTCAACAGAAGAAAGCCTCTTTCACATACAGAAGGTGAAGCTGTGTGCAGACCATCTTCATTTAGTGGTCATGTCAAGAGCTGTTTGGAGCACAGGTTGTCATGGCACCTGTTTATTGTGAAAGACGGCTGTTTTAATGCATTTGAGGTGTAATGAGCATTGGAATATAGACCCACAGTCGACTGGTCAGCTGGACTGTGAGCATGATTTTTGAGCATCTGTCTTGAGTGTTTACTTCTCGTGCAGACGCAGATACAGACACATTTGTATAACAGGAACATTAAATTTGGTATTTAAAAAAAGCAGAGAGTGATGAACATCAGAACAGTAAAACAGAGGAAACATTTGGACGTTTTTCAGTCATTTTCTGCACGTTATATCCTGACACCAGAAGGTGTCCACATGTCTTTATGAGTGAGTCATTGAATCATTCATTCAAATGATTCGTTAAAACATTGATTCATTCAATAATTAAACAAATGAACAAGCTGAATTCGGAACCGCACACTACTCTTACCATTCCTGCTATAGTAATACATCATAAAATGGTAAGAGCTAGTATGCGGTTGCGAATTCAGCAAGTGATTCTATGTGAGTAACTCATTGAATCATTCACTCAGACGATTCGTTCAAATATTGATTAATTCAAGAACAAAACACCTCGATGTGTTCTGTTACATTAAGTGTCTCCTGACAGTTTCAATAAAATATTCTCTCACAAACCTACTCACCACAGAATGAGATAGTAGCCAGACGACTTCTTTCCAGTGGAGGAGCCCATTTGCTCCACATCCCATGGCAGGCTGGATATGTGACACCCTGTGAACATTATGCACGGTTAGTATGCTTTCTTTCTTTCTCTCTCTCTTTCTTTCTTTCTTTCTTTCTTTCTTTCTTTCATCAAAATGGGCAATACTACTGACTGATTAATACTTAAAGGAACAGTTCACCCATATAATGACGTCATGAATAATGAATCAAAAACTATGTATGGCTTTAAACGATAGCCTAGTACAGTGGTTCTCAAACCTCTCCATGAAGTACCCCCAGCACTGCACATTTTGTATGTCTCCCTATATCTGACACACCCACTTCAGGTCTTGCAGTCTCCACTAATGAGCTGATGAGTTGAATCAGGTGTGATAGATGAAGGAGACATACAAAATGTGCAGGGCTGGGGGTACTCCAGGACAGGTTTGAGAACCACTAGCCTAGTATGTACTTCACGACTACATTTATGGTGCTTTTAATAGTATTTGGAGGTTGAATATCAGCATTCACTCGGAAACGAAGATGGTGTAAACATTCTCTTCTCTTTTTGTGTTCCAGAAATGAAGAAGTCATATGTGTTTGGAATGACATGAGGGTGAGTAAATATTGACAGAATTGTCATTTTTGAATGTATTACTGCTTTAAATACACTGATCAATAGCATACCATTTAAAATGAATATGTAATGCGTTTACATATGTTATGTTTACATATGTAACGCATACATGTCATGTGTAAATTAATAATAAAAAGTAATATTTTATGACGTGTTTAAAGATGAGGTCACTGGGGGCCACTCACCTCCACCAGTCCTTGTAAGATTCGCACAAACATGACACAGCCATAGTGGGCCCTGGCAGCTGATGGAATAAACATGTTTAGCACTGACGTCAAGAAAATGGCTGCTCCAAACACCCTGAGAATAATTCAGAGATATTTAGTAATGTTAGTTAATGGATTCAGTCAAAATTAAGCCATATAAAAACATAATGTGGCCTTAAATAATGTAGATTTACATAAATAATGTTTTGTGGAAAAGCACACAGTGAGGAGGATAAGTACCTAATTCCATAATGTTATCTGAATAACTGAATTGAATAACTCTATCATCAGTCCTGAAATTCTGAAAGACATGAATCATAAAATATCTGTTTCTTCTTGACATCATATAAAGTGATGAGTTAGTGACACCTAGAGAGTAATTTTGTAACTTGATACTGTAATGAGGATTTCATATCACAAAATAATATCAAAATGCATTAGAAATGCACTGAATTTAGTTTGAAGCGTGAGTGCAACCATCATTGTCAATTAATATTAGAGTAATAATTTAATATTTTTAGTTTTAGTCTGGATCTTTATGTATTTCATTAAGACATGATCAAAGGAAAACATTTAAACTCTCTCTATATATACTATATAGTTATAAAATAAAATATAAAAACTTTAAAAAGGCAACATTTATCGATTTCAATTAGTTTTACTTGATGTACTAAAACTAAAACAAAAATAAAAATGAATACAAATTATGTAGTCTATAAAAATTACTAAAACTAAAAAAACTACTAATAAAATATTCATAAAAGCTATAACAGTATCTCAAAGATTCTAAATTAGCATTGGTACAGCTTTTAATTAGCATCTACAGGGGCCTGGGTTCAAACCCTGATCTATCATGTATTTGCAGATTTGATTGGATATCCAACTTGATTGTACTGATCAAATTATGAAATTTTTACCTTCAAAATTTTGGCAAACTAATTACCAAAGACCTTTTTTCCCATTCAAAATCCACTTTGCAGAAAAACCCATCAGTTTGAATAGGCATGATGCTAGCTGGCACATCATCACTGGATCATACAGAAGAGAGTCATTTTGGTTCATTCAGTTGTCCTTTATCTCCATTTAATCCATCCATCGCTTTTTTTTTTTCCAAAACAGTGTGTAAGTGACACTTGTAATATTCCAGTGGCTGGTGCTTCAGCGAGAGATCTACTGCTGGATCTTTCATTATTAACTCTGTCAGCCACGTGTCCTCTTTTCCTGTGAGGCTTTTATTACAAGACCGCTATCGCCCCTCTAATCAACACACGGCACAAATTTAACCCTCGCAGCCTTGACCACTGCACTCGTGTGAGAGTTGTATTATGGAACAAACGTCTGCCTTCCAAACGTGGCGTGGAGGCCCGTGCGTCAAGACGAGGCTCACCTGTTAGCTGCTAGCTTATTGGAGATGAAACCTCCAGGGATTTGAGTGACAATGTAGCCCCAGAAAAAAGAGCCGTGTATCAATCCCACTGTCTCTGGATCCCAATTAAACTGAGCTGGCTGAAGAAGACAAGCATTAGAGGAGACCATGTTAGCTTTATATAATTAATAAATTTTTTTTTAAAAAGAATAGTAATAAAAAATACAAAAACCTTTTGTATGCACATTTCTGTGTATGATATAAAAATGAGTAATCGTAAGACATTCATAGTAAAATGACCTGAGTATGTGTGTGTGTGTGAGTCATGTCTTCCTCCTAAAATTTCTTATGACCGGAAATTACAGGAAATTGTGGCAGCCAACTACCTAAAAAGTCACTAATGAGAATTCAAGCCAGAAAAAAAGATAATCGGTCCTTTGAACTTGATAGCTGAAAAAGTCAAACGGCCTATCTAGACCTTTTTTGTTTTTTACTTTTTCAAGCCAAGGACCCCTGAATATGATTGCTAGGGACCCACTCTTAAAATATGTATAATTTCATATATACCCATTTACTGTTTGAGAAAAATATTAAGCATAATAAAATTAAGCAAATATAAGTAAAATATTATCTGTAAAATATTTACTTATTTAAGTTGACAGTTTGTACATGAGTGTGTGTGTGTGTGTGGTTAGAAAATAGATACACTATATATGTTTTTTTTGTTGTTGTTATTTATTACTGATAAAAGCAGAGTTGTCGATAGAACAATTTAATAAAAATAAAGATAAGATATAAGAGAATGTTAAATTTGGTAAGTGTGGTAAAATTGTATTTACTTACTACGTACTTACTTACTCACCCTTATGTTATTCCATTAACTTCCATAGTATTTTTTGTTCCATACTATGGAAATCAGTGGCTACCAGCAACAGTTTGGTTACCAACATTCTTCAAAATATCTGTCATGATATCATGATATCAAAATATCAAAATAAATATTTGTGTTCAACAGAACAAAGAAATTCATACATGTTTGGAACAAAATGAGGGTGAGTAAATGTAAGTGAGTAAATTCCCTTGTTCTAACTTAAAGGTAATTTGGTATTTTCAGTTTATATGTTCCTAGTTTCACCTGCATGACGGCAGTCCCGTTGATGTAGACAGTGTTGTTGTTAACCATTTCTACAATGGCTACACCGAGGTTGCAGCGGATGCCAAACGAGATGCAAAAGCCAAGTCCGCTGAGGATGGCGATGATGTAACGTTTGGGGAGGCCAAAGCAGCCACAATCAAAAAAGGGTGGGCTGTGTTTAGGGGCCGCCACTGGCCGACCATCTTCTGTCAGCTCAATGTTGTCCTCTTCAGCCGCATTAGAACCATCGATCTTCCTACCGTAGGATATAAAACGGTTTAGAAATAGTCATGGCTTGCAGTAGACAAAAAGATAACAAATTAAATATCACTCCATAACTGATGTATAAACCAAAACGGGTCCTCTTTTTGGATTGCAAATGTAGCTTTAGCTGATCTAGATTCAACTCAGTGCTGTTTGAAAGTGATATACCCATATTTATGAGTGATGGACTGGGAGTTGGAGGGGGCCAGCAAGGGTTGCCAGAGTGTGGCGTTGAAAAGGTCACATTGCGTTTGGTGCTCCCTCCATCTCGCCCGCACGCACCTGTTCCATTACTGAACCTGCATCTTTCCTCTCATCCTCCACCTCACAGGAATTACTTTCATCTGTCTATTTTGAAATGCACACCTGAGTTCTTCTACACACAGAGGAAGGAGCTCACTAAAAGCTGGACACTGGAGGATTGTGAATGGAGGATCAAGAAGCATCATTTCAAGAGCCTGTTCCTGATGTTTGTGAAGCATTGTTATTGCACATAAGCCACTTTAAGGTGAAGTATTGCTCTGGTACACTCTCGAAATGGATCACATGCATTTTTTTCTATTGTGAACAATACATACACGTATTCAGATCAGAATTGTTACCATACGTTGTTTTGTTTTTCCACATCATATCTTTTGTTTTAAATGAATTCTAAACTCTCTAGATACTACTTATCATTTTGATTTTAGTAACAGCATGAGACCGTATAGATTTTTAAAATTGCCATAAGATTAAAAAAAAAATTATAAAAGTCAAATATAATGACGTAGATGTGGAGAAAATTGGCCAGAAAAGGACAGTATCACCTCTTAACATCATAAAGCCATGTGCAAGGATTACCATGAACCAACCTTACAGCTTTTACATTATAATCATCCAGCCAAGGCAATATATTATTCAATATACTTTACCACAATTAAAGTAAAAATAAGAAGAAGAAAAAGGAAAATATTTAGATGTCATTCTATCTGAGCATAGCATTGCATCTCAAATAAAATCTGTGGCAAACAGCCAAAACACTTACTAAATTTCAGTACATTTTCAAAAGCAGGTACTCTACTAGATATTGTTGTCATTGCTATTGTAATTAATTATATTAATAAAAAATATTTTAATATTTGTTGTTTTGGAAATGGCATTGCTCTTGAGCACTTCTTATAATGCTCTACATTGTCTTATTAATTAAATTATGGTGGATTTTATGCATGTTTAGTTTATACACAAATCTGCATGAAATTCTGCAAAATTAAGCAATTTTAAAAGTAGGGATTAAAATAAATATGCATGAGTTTAGTGTGCACCCATATATTAATTTTCCCCTCTATATTGTGTAGTTCTAGTTCTACAAGCTCTAAGAGATTTCCTGGCAATATTACACGGACACAGGAAATTATGTACATTATCTCACATATAAAGATGTCTAATGTGCAAGAAATATGTGACATGTATTTCGCTCTAATGTGAAATCTTCAGGTTTCTAATCTCTTCAAATGTACTAGATATTAAATATGTATGAAAACGCATAGAAAACTGGATAACTTTTAAATTACTGGCCAAGATACAAAGTGAATATGTTGTGATATTTCTAGATGCCCTGACAAGCAAAGATATCCTGTGGCAACATTTTGATATGAATATTTATAAGAATGTACGTAATAATTTAAGATTTACTTTCTTTGAGAAACAATTTGCAATGTAGAAATACTCTGAAAACAGTTTTTCAAACATTAAAACATATATTTTTTAATACAATTATACTACCAACATCCCTCATCACAAATCTTTGAAAACATAATATAGTTCTATAATGCATAGTTCTATATATTCTATTCTATAGTCCTGTATAGTTACACTATGTACTTTATTGCCATTTTTTCAATTATATTTTTATATGGAATATGATTGATTTATCACTGAAATCAGCTGCTCAATACATTTTAAGTTGATTTCTCAATTCTAATTTCTAAATCCCTTCCCATAATTGAATTTAATTCAATACCAAAAGCCTGATGCAGTATATATAAGCAAGCAATCTTCTCATATCTTCCTCTCAGCGCTTAGACTTCAATTCAACTGCCTTCACACTTACTTCTGCAGGTTCCCCAGAGAGTCGCCCACACTGTTCTTCAACTCCTCCTTCCCCGGTTTGAGCTTCTCCTTTAGACCCGCAAACCCCCCCAGTGGCATTTCTCCTTCCCTTGCTCTTCTGACCCTCAAACACTTGTCTTCTCTCACTTCTGCTCTTGCAGAAAAAAAGAGCAGGATATCCACTAGACGCTGGTGCACATCCTCTCCTGTGCTGGACTGAGATGGTCTAGGTGTGCTGGAGGGGAGGAGAGATGCTGAGCCATAGACGGAACAGAGAGAAAGAAGAGGAGGGACTTTGGTTTGGACGGTCTGGGTACAATCCTTCATGCGGTTTGGGCTAAGAGCATCCAGAAACGAGGCACAAGGAGAGAAATGGGGCAAATCCGGGTGTCTTCGGGTCAATGTATCGGCATTGTGAATGTTATGTTGGCATACATCAATAATGGAAACTCCGGCGTTCTCCTCAGCTCCCTCACAGACAGTGACAGAAGATGCCGAACACCTGCCTCTTCTCCAACCCCTCCCTTCTTGGTCTTGCCCATACGAAAGCAGGCCAAAAAGAGTGACTAGCAGAGCTCATTAAATATTAACAGTGAAGTCAAGGATCGCAGGCTCGGGGTTGTATAATACGAGCAGGTGTAACAAGACACTGCGTCCTCTAGTCCCAGTTTAACCCTTATCCCGAGAAACCGTTCCAGGGGTTCATGGGTCAAATGTATCAACGTCAACAACCAAACACTGACATAAAGGTTCAAACTGTGAGGGCCGTTGCACTGTAGTTGATGCACAAAAGTCACATATGCAATCTAATTCTATTGCTTCTGTAAATGAAGGGCTGTACCTTTTTTATGCAATAATCATCAAAAATGCAGTGTGCTTTAAAAATTCAGATATTGAGGTCTAAAAAATTCATCGGTAGTCTGCACGGCTCTCAGGCTGTGTTTCACTGATGCTTGTTTTAGGAGCCTCAATAGTCTGTTTTCCATGAATAAAATCTGGAGCTTCCTCACTGAAGGTCTGCCATTCAATGCAAAGGTCATAAATAACTGAGAAACAGGGATTTACTATTTTCCACAATCAAAATGAACATATGCATTCATGCAAATGAAGGTTCTTTATCTACAAAATGTGAACCAAAACAAAAATAAAAATAAATAAATACAGTATAATAAAAAAATAAGTGTGCACAGGAAAATCTTCAATGTAAAAGTCTTGGTCTGCAGGTCTGAACTCTACATTGTGGTGTTGGTTTAACACCTGCAATTTTAATGTACAGTGCAGACTTATAGTGGAAAAATAACTGCCCACTTATATTGCACATACTCGTTTTCAGCAAACCATATTTTTTTACACATACTGACCTGAACACACCTTAAACCTCATGAAGGTTTCAACAGATTTGATTGTTTTCTCTTTACATGACAACAAAACAGGTTGACAGATTGACTTTGATTTGGCAAAGGTTTTTTTTTAATTTTAGTAATATTTTAGAACAAAACTGTACATTTGCTTTTATTCCTAAACATTCCTGAAAATAATTATCCATTAATGATAAAAGGTTATGTTTATTACATATGCCAACGTTTCTTTTTTCGTTTTTTTAGAGATTTAAGCCTTGTAATAAATGTTTCTTTAATCTCTGTAAAATTACACAACTCTTATTTTGTGTTTGCCGATTCTTTCATGAGCAAAGAGGTTTTCAAGTCATTTTTTGAATCTGTTGATTAATTTTAATGTATTTACGAAAAAGTGCCACATCACTGCCCCATAAACTTTTACTGAAGTTATTTATTTTATATTAATAGTATAATGTATCTTGAAAGCACTCTCTGGTCCAAGGCACTTTCTGTTTTTAAAGAATAGAGTGACATCTAGTGGTTCACAGGAGCCAATGTGCAGCTGCCAAGCCAATTTTTGCTCAAATGATGTCAGTACTTTTTTTAAATAACTACTTAGTTGTAGAACTATGCCTTTATCTATTACCCTATCCTTACACTTATATCCATAAATAGAAACAATATATCTTTTCAAATCTTTGCTGCCCAGTTCAACAACTTCTCTTCCTCTGTGCTGATGCATCGTACATGTCAAATGTATGGACTTTTTGAAGCGGTGGTCACATTAAGTATTCATTTGCATCATTGAACTATGACTCTTGTTTTCTGTATGCAATATCTTTGCAGGAAAAAGGGTGAGTCAGCTTTTCCTGTGTCTCAATTTCCACAATTTTGGCTTATGGTTTTATGATTCTCAGGGTTTATGATTCTCCAAGCCATACAATCAATATAACCAGTGTTAGGGAAAGTTACTTTTAAAAGTAATGCATTACAATATTGCGTTACTCCATAAAAAGGAACTAATTACGTTACTTAGTTACTTTTTATGGAAAGTAATGCGTTACGTTACTTTTGCGGTACTTTAAAAATCTGGACAGGGCTTGCTTGTTTGTTTTTAAAATAAAAAAGTTCTATTTTTGGCAAATATAAAAGCCTTTTCACACCAAAAGTGAAATGAATAAGCCTCAGGCTGAAGGGAAAGTAAATTTACGTCCGTACAGTAGAATGCAGAAGAAGAAATTTCAACACACTTCAGCAATAAAAAAAACACAAATGTTTGTCTAGAGTCATTTTTGCTTATTAGTATGGTTGAACTGGATCACCGAAGGTCAGAAGCAAAGACATTGGTTAATAGAATAGGATTAAATACATAAAGGATATTTGTGTTGTTTAACATTTAATTATTGCAGGTTTGCGTCATATTCTGTTACATTATTTTTATTCATTTTGAGGAATACTGAATCTGTGTTTTTTTTTGTGTGAGTGAGATGAATTAATGCATATTCATATTTATTTTGAACTACAGTAACATCTGATTTCTCTCAACATGGGGACAGGAGAGCTGTTAATCAATAAATTGAAAAAAAAGTAACTCCGATATTCTCTTGTAAATTAAAAAGTAATGCGTTACTTTACTAGTTACTTGAAAAATGTAATCTGATTACGTAACTTGCGTTACTTGTAATATATTACCCCCAACACTGAATATAACAGCTTTAAAATCATCATCATAGAGAAATAAGGGAAGCTAAGCAAATTTATATCCAATACATTTCTATGACTTTCCTAGAACTGGAAATAGTAATTTTAAAAGTCACTGAAGCTTATGTTTTCAAAGAAGTATTGTGCTAATAATAAAACATTGCTATTTTTTTTAAAGCAGTTACGTTTGTGGGTATGTGTGTTGTTATAATAAAGTCAGTTGCAGCTACATATGAGATCAGATCACCTGCGTTTATTTTCAGGGACCAATAGCGGAAAATAAAAATGATTAAAATGTGCATTTCTTGTCCACTAGCTAGCGCGAGCGTCTGTTTTTTCTTTCAGAGTTGGTTACTCAATCGTTTCAATGCACACATAGGTGTGAAAGTTGTAATCAGGCCAGAAGAAGAGTTTTTGGTTTCAACCATCAAAAAAACAATGCAAAGACACATTCATAAAATGAATCCATGGACTTTATCAAATAGAACACAGACGACACAGCATCTTTAGATCACAGTGATGATTCACGTCAATATAAAAACAAATTCCGCTTTGAGAACAAAGTCTTTATTTATTTTTTCATGTGAGAAAAACAAAAAAATTACATATACAATAGTTTCCTTAAGCAAAATTAATGAAAATGGCATTACATATAAAGGGCGCTATTGTTATTTATAGCCTAGCAATAGGCTTACTCCATTTTATTTATTATTTCAAAGGTATTATCATTAAATTAATAAAACCAAGGATGACCTAATTCAGTTTAGTCTGTTACAACATGAAAGAGTAGCCTAAATGTCTGACTGACAAGCTTATTCAAAAATCATATTTAGGCTACCAGTAAAATTTGTTTCATTTGTACAATATGATGAGTACTCAAAATTAACAGGTAAAATTGATTGCCACAACGGATAAAATAAAATGGGCCTAAGTAAAATTCATACACGAAATATAAAATGTGGTGGTTTCTTGTTATGCTTTGACACTAATTTGCACAGTTTAGGTAGGCTGTAAGTAGGCTATTTCTAAACTTTTTTTTTTTTTCCAGACAAATAGGGAATTTGTCAAGAATGTTAAGATTAAATATGATCAAATATTTTGACACTTTTAAACAAACCGAATAGATATAGTTGTTGGTCTGCTTTTTTGTAATATCATTTTCTTACCCCAACAAATCATCAATATGTTACTTACGTACATTCAGCCTCAAAATAACAGACAGTTCTGGTCTAAATATATATGATGGTGCAAGAACGGAATGCGATATATGGTCGAATTACATTGCAGCAATCGAAAAGATGACTGACCGGCACTCGTTCAGTACCGCATACCGCCATCGCATCCGTGACCGCATTTTTCTCGGCTTGCATAACATATCGCGTGACTTACTAGGTTAGTAACGTGAGGGAACGGACAGCAGAGAAGGCGGTGTTGATGATGGTAGGAGGAGATTGTGCGTCGTCGTCTTCCGCGTTTCCCCGGATTTCAACCACTGTCCTGATTCCATCGTGTCCTCTCCTTGTACGTTTTTACGCTCGGCCCACCCTCCCAATTGAGTTAGTTGTAAAGAAAAAAATTTAATCAATTATACAGGCCTCGCCGCCCCCCCCCCTCCGCCTTCACCTCTCCTCTTTCTCTCCCCCCTTTGCAAATAACTACCACCGCCTTCGTTCTCCACATGAAGCATCGGAGTACTGGGCCCCGGCGTACCGGCTCCAGCCATGTCGGCGAGGAATACAGCGGCTGGCGGCGATGACGGAGCGACGGGGGAAAAGCAAGGTAACTCGCCGCTTAAAACAATACAAGTTAGTTCACCCTAGCCGGGACCGCTTGAAGCGGAGCGAGTTGGTGTAGATTGCGCTGAGTGCCGGGCGGAGGAGAGGGAGCTCTCGGTGTTCCCCGCTGATTGGTTTGCACACTCGCGTTCGCAGCGAAACTAGGTCAGTAGTTCAGTAGAGCGAACTGAAGCAAACCAGAGCAGAGGCTCGTCGGAACTGCTCACCTTGCCACATTTCGGGCTTTAACGCAGATTTTTACCACATATTCTGGTTCTAATGTGACTGATATTCACGTTTTTAACATGTAGTATGTTGTGCTGTAGTTATTTTGCGAGGCCTTTGACAGATTGGCTGCTGTCACATTCAGTCAGCTGTGGCTATGCTAACGTTAGTTCTTTACTTTAAATGTTTTGGTTGTTCCGGTTGCGTATAACGGTAACTTAAATGTCTTAATGTGTGTATTCGCATGCTACTGTCGATTTTTATATTTTCTGTGTTCTCGGAAACTTTGTATCTTTCATATGGCATACTTTTTTTTTTTTTAAATATGTTTTCCTAACCTCCACCGATGGTCATAATAAAAGAATCAGATTTTGTCAGAAAAATGCGTTAAATCGATGATTTAGCCTATGGTGTTTACATTTGTGTATAACGGTGGAAATTATATAGAACTGTTCTGTTTGCGATTCATCTTTTGGTTGTTCCGCCACGCGCCACCCTTTATTTTTTGTGGGGGAAAAAAATACAGAAATGTATTGCTCTCAGCTTTGTGTTGTTCAACACAAAAAAGCAGAAAATAATCTTTACAATTGTAGTGTATTGACTATTTAAAAGGAGGCATAAATGCTATTGGCCATAACTGTATATTGTATAAAACAGTAAACAAACTGAAAATGTGATTTAAGATGTTTAATCAAGTTATTTCTTTATTTACTGATTGACTACCACAACTCCTGATGTGTGTCTTTAACACATTGCCATATGGCCAACTATTCAGAACAGTTTTTGGTTTATTTTAAGTACTTTAATTGCGATTTCAGTAAACGAGTCAAATTAATTCATTAGTAATCTGACTGATTGAATCATAAGTGCTTTGATTCGGTTCACAAGAGTCATTCGTTCGTAAATCATATGTTTTTGATTCTCAGCTATTAGTGTATAGAAAACTATAATACTGACTTTTGATGAATCATCATTTATTTATATGATTCTTTAATATATGGTTTCATAAGCCCCAAAGAAACGTTCTTACTCTATTGTTCTACTTCAGAAAGTTTATTCTATGTATTTGTTTTGCTGTACGTACTGTGGGAAAAGTCACTTTTTTGAATATTTGTTCAATATATTGAGTTTTAGAGCTCACAAATACACTGTCTAGTAGAGAAGCCTTTCCCTTAGTGAATTCAGTCTCATTTTTAATGAGTGAAACTGCCTCCTGTGACGTAAATGTGAATCATTAGCATTGTGAGGTCATAGTGCTGCCTGATCTAGTCTGCTTTCTTGTAACGTGATGGTTGTGTAATATGTAGGTCAAACTCGGCACACTTGTAGGCCAGAGCTGTGATGCCCTCCTCTTCCTCAGGCGTTGCTTTCTCTCTTCAGCCTAACTCAGTCAGTGAACCTTTGCATAACTAGGCTATAAACAATCTGAAACGAAGCTGTTTAATGTAATAGGGCACTTGTGCTCTTAATTCTCGCCAAAGTGTAACCTAAATCTGCTGTCAGTTTGGTTCCTCTCGTGACAGACTCCCCCTCCCTTCCCCAACACTGAAAAACGTGACTGGGATTTAGGGTCTCATCTGGAAAGTATGTCTCTTAGGTAACTGGTCTTTTGAGTTACATATTCCAGTCATTTCGGTGATAGGTGTTTTTTCAGGTCAATTATTTACTATCCTATGCTTCTGGTAAATTCTGGCAAAGCTGATAAATAAAATGCACTTGTCTTGGTAAATTGTCTGTGGGAATTATGTGTAGGGGGGAAAAGACAGCATTGTATATTAATACCTTCTTCGCTTATTAATTATTATTATAATGTGAGTCTTCCCTGAGTGATATTAATATACGTATGTTTATAAATGTCATTAAAAAGTGCGATGCAAAATAGAATGAATGAGCTGATTTTATTCCTACATTTTCATTTTGAAAGCCTTGTCAATATTTTATTGAATTTTTTTATTGAATTTCCTCAAAATCATTCCTTATCCTTACGGGCTATATTATATTATATTATATTATATTATATTATATTATATTATATTATATTATATTATATTATATTATATTATATTATATTATATTATATTATATTATATTATATTATATTATATTATATTATATTATATTATATTATTAATGTTTCTAGCACCATGCTGAAGGAAAGCCATATATTATATTGTATTATATTATAATTTATATTATATCATGTTTTATTTTATTTATTATATTATGTTATAATATGTTATTTTGCATTTTTCATTACATATTGCATCGCTTTACACTCCCGTAATTTAAAAAAATATATGGTTTAAACTAGGGCTGCACTATAAATCGCATGTGATATTTAATGCGCATCTTGTCAGAAAGCCGGTTCTGTAATCAGCGGTAAATCTCCATCACCTGCGTGCTTTCACATTGAGCAGCATTAACTACACAGAGCCGTTGTTCACTGACGAGCTGCGCAAAAAATCGCGCGAATATGAACGTGGTTTTGCGCAGCTCGTCAGTGAACAACGGCTCTGTGTAGTTAATGCTGCTCAATGTGAAAGCACGCAGGTGATGGAGATTTACCGCTGATTACAGAACCGGCTTTACTGATAAGATGCGCGTTAAATATCACATGCGATTTATCGTGCAGCCCTAGTTTTAACATATTTAACACACTTTCTATATTAATATCATATGGCACATATATACACAGTGTAACTACATGTATTAAACTCATTTAAATGTTAGTATATCCATTACTTTCAAAAAGTATTTAATCTTCTAAAAACATTTCTTAGATTGCTTGACCTGAATACATAAAAGTTCACTCATGTTCATCAAAAGTAGGTCAGCAGAAGTGGGGTTTATTGTGACACTTTTGCACTATGTTTTAGCAATACTTTGACCACTACCTGTCTATAGCATATATTAGATGAAATATGTTGCACGATGGGTTGCTACACCAGATCCTGTATGAGGTTCCATTTGTGTCAAAAATGAGTCGACTGCTTTGTACTATACATTTGTCTTTGTCTACAGTCATTGCCTACTTGTTCAGGTAAATCAGTATATGTAGGTGTTCTGTCGTATTAGTTAGGACGACAGTAAGGACGACAGTAAAGACGACTAAGGACGACAGAATAAGATGACAGTTAGGACGACACAACAAGATGACAGAACAAAATGATAATAAGGATGACAGTAATTAAACGACAGAGAAAAAGCAGGCAGGACGACAGATTAAGACGACGTCAACAGACAACATACACGCCAACATATACTGATTTACCTGAACAAGTAGGCAATGACTGTAGACAAAGACAAATGTATAGTACAAAGCAGTCGACTCATTTTTGACACAAATGGAACCTCATAATCCTGAGCTACAGGGAAGAGTTTTTATACATCTCAAATCATCCAATGTTGAGGACTGCATTGTGTGAAATAGAGAGCTTTGAAAGTAGTTGCACATTTGTTTCTGAGAAATGTTATAGAAATTTTAATGTATTATTTTTATATGTGCAAACAGACATAAGTACAGTTAAAAAGCAAAATTATTCAGCAGAGAATTTAAGATTGCAGTCTAGTGGATTATCTTATTATGTGCCGCACACATAAGTGTTGCATATACACTTTGTCATGGTCTCTGAATAGGCTCTTGCGATCTGAATGGTGAGGCTATTTTGAGAATGCGTTTTTATTAAACTGAATGGGAGAGTCTTGTTCAAGGTCTCGTTCTCAAGGACCACTTTACAGACCTCTTTAAATCTCGGAAATAATAGTTAAGAATGATTGTTTTGATAATGTTCTGATTGTCACATCTCAACTCTGTGTGTCAGTTTTACAGCTCGTCTTGACTTCCTCTCCTGTCAAAGAGACAGTTAGTTTCCCGTTGCCTTCATGTCTAGACATTAGATTTTTTTTTTTGGATCATGCTATTTAGATGTTAAGCATTTATTCTTCCCTTGTTTTCAGAGAAACTGTTAAGATAGGTGTGCCTCGTGAAATTTGTGTGCACATGATTTTTATTTTTTTTTGTTATTGCATTATTGGTGTTTCTTGGTCATTCGCATGTTTGTAGAGCAGTTAATTTTTTTTTATGTAGAAGGGCCAGATGCCTGGTAAGCTTTGAGATTTGCATAAAGCAGTGCCAGCATCAAGCTCAAAGAATTTACCATTTACTTATCCAGTTTATTACAAACCCACATCAAAATGATTTCTAAATCTGATGCTTATGTGTCTTTCATTTATGGCTAGTTGTGTTAGAATTAAATATAAGCAAACTTTCTTTACTGAAACTCACAATACAAAGTGTACATGGATTAAAAGCAATAATAATTAATACATTGAAAGTCCACAGTTTTGCTTATAAGAGAAGTAAATGAAGACTACTTGTTGTGATCCATTAGAAATTTGAAAGACAATTTGTCAAGAAGATTGATGCTTTTATAACTACATTATACTTTTATTCTAACATTTTTATAAAAAGCAAGAGACTTAAATTTGTTTTCTTTAAATAGGAGTGTCATAATTTTGTAGCTTATCTAGTGGTTATAGCCATGGGTTAGTTGCCTAATTATCAAAATAGACTCATTTAATTCTTTTAAATCAGTCTATTGATAAATTGCCAGCTGTTGAGGCAAGGCACTTTTGTATTTGTTAGAAAAATTAGGTCATGTCTAAACTGAATGCCTTTTTTAGCTTTTTGTTTTAGACATTTGTCATGTCTACGGATTCTCACATTGTAGACAAATTTCTTAAGCAACTCTAAGTCTAAAACTGAACTGAAAAATAGAGCACACCATGCAACTGAGTAATTTTCACTACATTAATATGGAAAAGTCAAACATAATTGCCTTGCATTGAACATTATTATGGCATTATTGCAGTGTTTTGCTTTCGTCATACAGAAAATCCACCATCCAATGCCATGATGCTTCAACCGGCTTGATTTGTGGTTTTAAACAACCTAGACAATAAGTAGACATTAGTCATTTACGTTCACACTTTAGTGAATGGAACGCACCAATGTTTTATTTAACTGTGGGAAGAATTAACATGGTTTTTCATCTGAATCATCAATCATTTGCTGTTAAATTTCTAATAAGGCACTATACCATTTGTCAGTTGCACATGTTATCAGCAAGCTTAGCATATAGCATAAGTGCGGACATAATAAATTTATTATATTATGCTAAATATTAGTTATAGATTGTTATTGGTCAGTTACCCAATATTGTTGTATAATGAGTGCCAAACTAATTGACTGTTGTCATCTGTTCTTAACAAATAATTTTTAGCTGAAATCAGTATTTGGTGTCTGTTTATTTAATCAATATTTCGTTTATTTATTATTTTGTTGTTTTGGTAAGTAGCCATTTAATAAGTGGAATAATCTACAGTCAGCCAGTCATTATTAAAAAATAAACCCATTCAGGTTGAAACCAGACCCTCTGCTTTGTCGAAGTCCTGATGACCCTGTTGTTGTTTAGTGACTGAATGATTGTAAGCTAGCTCTTACTTAAGCTTTTGAGTCACAAATGAGTAAATATTTATTTTATAAGTTACAGCAGATCCTTCTTCCCTCACATCAATAGAGCTGACTTATTGAGGGAATTTGCAAGAGCATTCAATACATCACAGAAAACCAGTCTTCTAAGTTTACAGGACATAAAAACTTGTGACGTCAACATAGTTATAATTAAACCCTGTGGTTACCTGTTTGTCCAACATTTAGCTTAACAGTTAATTTAATACTCAACAGTGAGACATAAAATACTACCAAGGTGTGGTGCCAAAAGTGTGCCAAAGCTAAAAACATTGAAGTGGATTCACTGACCTACTTTCACACACTTTTGTCACGTTTCTTGCACAACATTTGACGTAAATAAATTGAGTTTGGACATGTTTCTCGTGCAGCTCTATGGTAACAGTGCAAAGTATCATGAATAATTACCTCACCTTGTGATCATTTTTCTCCGTGATGACAAGTAGTGCTTGCATTGATTGTTTTACCAAGTTATTTAGACATTTTGATTCAGGCATTTTGCACCTTATGTGTGTGTATTGCTTTTTAATGAAATTTAAAGAGTATAATTACACTTAAAATGCATTTGTTTTCAGAAGTAGGTATGGTTAAGGTGATGAGTGATGTGTTCTTTTAGAGGTTGAATACATTGAAAATAATTGGACGTAGGCTTGTGTATAGCCTACATATATGTTTATATGCATTTGAATGATCCATCATGGAAAATGAATAGTGAGTCAGTGAAATGGCCTTTCTCTTGTGCAAATGACATCACACAGTGAGCACTAGTATCCAAATGCAGGTCAGTGAAGTCCAGGTAATATCATGAGCCAGTGAAAGACAGAGCTCTTCACTGTTGGGTGCGGCCTTCCTATCGGCCTCATAAAACCAAATAATCCCACCGCAGATCTTCACTCCAGCACACAGGATTAAAAATCAGGTTGTTGCCGATCTGTTAACGACTATTTAGGTCACTAGGCATGCGGAGCACTGTTAAATATAGGAGCCAGGGGCACAAGTTGTGTTTAGCCTGGCCTGTTCCATTGTCGCCTGAACCTGATGGCATTGTGACAACACACACACACACACACACATGCGCGCGCAAAGTACATGCATGTGTACACATGGCCGGTCTGAGGAGGAGGCGCAGATGCAGTTCAGGGTCTGATGAGGTGGAGCGTATCTGTTGATCTTAGAGGCTTAAAGAAACAGGTGAAGCAGGCGAGAAAACAGACTGCACCATTAAAGCCTCTTCATGAATAAGGTGCTCTGCTTGCAGGGAGTTTGTGAATGGATTATGGTGGTCAATGGCAATAACAGATGGCAAATACAGCTCCATTATGTGTCTGCCAGGTAGAGCTGCACAGTTTGCTCAGAAAAGTAATATTACAGTTAGTGCAACAAAGATTGTGATTTGAACTGCAACATGATAAACAGTAAAGTGTGAAGAGCTTCGTTTTATTCTTTGCATTCACTTTGTAGTTTTACCCTTTATATGGGCTAGTTGTTTTCAATAATAATAACAGGGGTGTGGACTCGAGTCACTTGACTCGAGACTTGACTCGGACTCGAGTCCCAAATTTGATGACTTGCGACTCGACTCGACATAATTAAAGAAGACTTGAGACTCGACTTAGACTTTGACAGCAATGACTCGAGACTTGACTTGGACTTGTGCCCTGTGACCTGCTTATTTTTTAAAGTTTGAAGTTTGGTGCAACAGAATTATTAGATAATCCTTGATTTAATCTAGATTTAAAATTAATCATTGCAAACCACTCAACTATAATTTGAAGAAGAAAAATGCACATTAGGCCTAATGTCTGAAGTGAGCAAGCGGCAATAGGCCTAATGATAATTTAAAATATAATTTGAAGAAGTGTTTCTTTCACAAAATGA